CTTTCAGCTTGCAGCAAACTTAGCCCCCACAGGACCTTGCTAGGGTACAAGCTAATGCTCTTGGGGAACAGATTCTAAAATCCCAAGATTTATTGGGAGAAAAGCTGGGAGATAAACTCGAAAAGGTTTTGAAAGCTCTTGTGACTGTGCAATTTGGTACAAAAGCCAAAGAGCTTTGTTTTAACTGTGGAAAGCCTGGTCACAGGAAAAAGGATTGTCCTGTACTGGTACCACAAGCTAAGCCATCTACTGTTTGCCCTCGATGTCAGAAAGGGAAACATTATGTGAAGAATTGTCATCCTCATTTTGACATCGATGGTAATCCCTTGCTGTTAAACTCAAAAGGCAGCACGGGCCAACACACGATGAAACAAGTAGTGGCACCCCAGTTGCCAAAAAATTTAGTTACCTCGGCTTTACCTGGAAGGAACCCAAATCAGATGTTATTTATGCCCCAGCCACCCATCCCTCAGGTGGCTCCACCCTACTACCCCCAGGGGCAAGGTTTGAGTTGGCAACTTCAAAATAAATATGCCTTTTAAAAGACTTCTGTTATGAAGGTATCCCCACAGAAATTACTGGCATTTCTCAACAAAGACAAGACTTTAATTATATACAAGCACAGCAACAGAATTTTTGGACTTTCCTTTCAGCTGTTGTTTCAGCAGACTGCAAACAAGCGCTAATAATTTCAGCTCTTGCATTTAGTATTCCTGCTGTGATTCAACCAAAAACACCTATAGCTATTGCATTGTTTTACCTATGGATACACACAGACAAAATATGTATCAAGAGACTCCACTTCCAACTAATCAAGTTGTGCACCCAGAGGTGCCATTTGGGAATCCTACCCCGAGTTTTGATGTCTTTTGGGTAGAACACATGGGCCTTGACCAACCAGAACTGACTTGCAGCCTGACTCATCTTGGTAGAACAGTTTCTATCACAGGCATGCTGGACACTGGCACAGATGTCACTGTGATATCTCACAGGTTTTGGCCGAGTGATTGGAATTTAGTGTCACCTCTGGGCACCCTCACAGGGACTGGAGGCACCACTGTGTGTCTGCAAAGTGAATCCAGGATTACTGTTACAGGTCCTGAGGGGAAGACAGCAACAGTATGTCCCTTCCTTGTGCAGAAGCCTCTCACTGTATGGGGGAGAGACTTAGTGTCCCAGTGGGGAGCAAAAGTACAAGTGGACCCCTGATGGGGACCACACCAAAGCCCACCATTCTAAAGCTGTCATGGAAAACTGATAACCCTGTTTGGATTGATCAATGGCCTTTAACAGAGAAAAGAAGTAAGTAACCTTAAAAACTTAGTAAAAAACAGTTGCAAAAAGATCACGTTACACCTGCAAGTAGTCCCTGGAATTCACCAGTGTTTGTCATCCACAAGAAGACTTCTAATTCCTGGAGACTACTTCACAACCTGAGGAAGATCAATGAAGTAATTGAGGACACGCAACCTGGACTCCCCTCTATGTCAATGATTCCAAGAGACTGGCCTCCCGTTATCCTTGATTTAAAGGACTGGTTTTCCAACATTCCACTCCATCCAGAGGATGCACTGAGGTCTGCTTTTTAAGTTCCAGCTATCAATAGAGGAGAACCACTGCAAAGATATCACTGCTAATCTTTGCCTCAAGGGATGAAAAATTCTCCCACCATTTGCCAATATTTTGTTGTACAAGCTCTGTCTCCAGCTCAACAGAAGCACTCACAATCTGCGATTCTACACTACATGGATGATTTGCTTATTGCAGCACCAACACGAACAGAAATGGAACAAATTCGTGACAGTGTTGTTACCGAAATTCAAAAGGCCGGACTGGAAATTTCTACATCCAAAATTCAAAATGTCCCACCCTGGAAATATCTGGGATGGAGGATGACTGAACAAACAATTACTCCACAGAAAATAAAACTCTGGACCAGTGGCAACACCTTGCAAGATTTACAACAGCTTTTGGGAGAAATTAATTGGGTCAGATCTATTTTGGGAATTACCAGTGATGAACTTGCCCCACTCTTTGACTTATTAAGAGGAGACTGTGACATCAAATCTCCTAGGACTTTAACACCTGAAGCTCAAGCATCCCTTGAAAATGTCACAGAAGCTTTCCAAAGGAGACAAGCCCATCAATGTGCTCCAGAAAAGCCCTTTATTCTTGCAGTTTTGGGAGAAAAACTGCAACTTTATGGTCTCATTTTTCAATGGGACCCTTGTGAAAGAGATCCTTTGTTAATAATGGAATGGGTTTTTCTTCCTTACAAGTCCCCAAAGACAATTTTTACAACTAGGGAGATGACAGCACAAATTATAATTAGAGCCAGAACAAGGTTGTTAACTTTAGCAGGCCAAGATTTTGCAGTTATTTATTTGCCTCTGATAAACGACAACCTTGATTGGGCATTGCAAAATTCAGATGATTTGCAAAATGCATTGTTGAATTTTTCAGGTGTTTGTTCTATTCATTACCCAGCCCATAAATTGTTGCAAATAAAATTGAGCTTTAGAGAAAAACCCATGTTGAGTGAAGAGCCTTTAAGTGCTGTAATTCTCTTCACTGATGGATCAGGGAAAACACACAAATCAGTAACAGTATGGCTAAATCAAACAACAAAAACATGGGAATCAGATATTCAAACAGTGAGGGGATTTCCCCAAATTACTGAATTAGCTGCTGTAGGCAGGGCCTTTCAGCTTTTTCCTTTTAATTTCATTACAGATTCTGCTTATATTGCTAATGTAGTTAAAATAGTAGAAGGATCAGGTTTAAAATATGTTGGAAATGATGTTTACTTTCAAGCTTTTATACAATTTTACAATACAGAACTAATCCATATTTTGTTTCTCATGCTAGGGCTCATTCTTCGCTCCCAGGATTTGTAGCAGAAGGAAACGCAAGAGCGGATAAGCTGGCAATGGTTGTTTCTAATACTTTGCCAAACATTATTGAACAAGCAAAACTAAGTCACGCCTTCTTTCACCAAAATGCACAAGCACTTGTGCGGATGTTTCACATTTCCAAATGTCAAGCTAAAGCCATCATTAGTACTTGCCCTGACTGTCAGCTTGTGCAACCTGTTTCTATAGGAGCTGTCAACCCACAGCGTTTGCAAAGCCTGCAGCCACGGCAAACAGACATTACTAAGCACCCTTCCTTTGGGAAATTTAAAAATATTCATGTATGAGTTGAAACCTTTTCAGGTGCAGTTTTTGCTTCTGTCCACGCAGGAGAAACAGCTAATCATGCCTGTCAACACTTTTTGCAAGTATTTGCTTCACTAGGGGTACACTGAGAAGTAAAAACAGACAATTGCCCTGCATATGTAGCCCAAAAATTGGCCACATTTTTGATGGGACTGGGGTGTTCGCCACTCTTTTGGAACTCCCTACTCCCCCACAAGCCAAGCAATTATTGAAAGGATACATCACACCCTAAAATGTGTTCTAGATCAGCAGAAGGGGGGAGCAGAGATGACACCACAGATGAGATTGAGCAAAGCTTTACATGTTTTTAATTTCTTGAACAGCTCTTTTGCAGAACCTGATCCACCAATTTTTAGGCATTTTTCAAATAACACACAGGCAAAATTAGAGGAAAATACCTGTTTTAATTAGAAACCCTGAGACAGGACAAATTGAAGGCCCTTTTCAACCAGTAACTTGGGACAAAGGGTACGCTCGTGTCTCCACAGGTGCCAGACCTAAGTGGGTTCCAGCAAAGAACGTCAAACCATATTGCACAGAAGAACACACTGGTGAGTCCAAGAGCAGAGAGACAAGCACGGAGATGTGAAACAAACAGAGAGCCCACGAGTCCTTCCTGACAAACCTTGTTCATCTGTGGAACCTGCAAACCCTGATTTTTATGTCATTGTAAAAAATGTGTAAATTGCTGATTTCATGGACTCCTTTGGCAAAAACATGGTATTTTTTGCTATAGAGAGTATATCCCCCCATTGAATTTGCAAAGGTGAAATTACCCCTTCTTTTTTTTTGTTATAGGTAGCTAGTCCCCAAGCAAATTTGAGAAAGTACAAGAGTAGAACTTGGGAAATAAGATATATGGAAGGGTCTTTTGCCAAAAAATAGTTCACAAAAACAATGGAGCTGAATGAAGTATTATGCTGGTACTTGCTGGTCTTGCTTGTTCTGTGCAGAGCAGATTTGCCTGTAGAACAACCAAAAACAAATGTTTGCCTTAGCCAAGGCTGCAGGCTCAGACACCATATGCCTGTCCGATTCAAATCCAGAAAAGCCGTTTTCAACCTGTCTAGTTGGTGTCCCAGTAAAACACTGGCCAATACCCATATATTATGATCCCTTGACCAAAACGGGAGCAATCTTGTGACTGATTGGAACATTTGGACCAAAGGACTTCCAAAAGCAGAATCTGAACCCCAAGAATTGGAAATTCTTGGTTCTTTGACAATGGATTTTCAGGTAGC